GACGGGATGGCGGCGGCCTTAGCGCCGCGTTAGCCCTGGACCGTGTAGGGCCTTGGGCCCGACGGCCTCTCTTGGGGCCTGCTACCCGTGAGTGGCCGTGGCACAGTTGCCGTCGTGCCCTGCTCAGCCCCTGTGGCCACTGGCGGAGCCGCCTGCCTTGTCCCAAGCGCCTCGTGCTCACAGCTGTGTAGGCTCCGAGCGGCTTCGCCTCAGGGAATCACAGATCTCGAGTTGGCAGGGACGCATAAGGGTCATCGGGTCCAACCCCCTGCTTCTTTCAGGAACACTTTAAACAACACCGTGGTAAATTCATAGATACAAGTTATACATTAGGTGTGCAACTCCCAGGCAAAGGGAGATGCTACAGTAGTTTGTAGCTTGCTACCATGCACCCGTAGACTGTACTTGGGTGATTTCATTTGTTAGGAGATGCAGGAGACAAGTATGGTCCACTGAAACTGCATTGGCTGAATCTCGGGAGTTTTCCTTCTGCCTTAGTGCTAGTCAAGTTCATAGGATTGTTCCCTTTAGTTATCTTTCCCCTAAAGATCAGATTCTGTCATCTTAAAAACAATTAAAATAAGTTTTACGGTCATGCTTACATTATTTTAAATCTGTACTGTTGTAGTATAACGGACTCAATTTTTCTGTACTTTCATAAGTGCATGAAAACTCTTCTGATATTTCTCTTTCTTTTACTTACAAGGTTTGTATCAGTAAGTTTTAGTGGTCTTCACTTTACTCCCAGACCTTCAGGTACAGACTTTTTTTTAATAAATAGACTACTTAAGGAGGAACTTACTCTAATGACTAGTTTTTATAGCACTGAATATGTCCTTCTGAAATAAAAAACTTGTTACATGCATGCTTTTGTTTACCTTCTGGTTTCATTCAAACTAAATTATGAGAGTCTCAGCTGGGATTAGAATTTATTTAATAACTGGTAGTTTCATAATGTCATTAGTAGCTATTAAAAAACAAATCCTAAACTGTATCCCTGTTGTGATTCTATAGTCTGTTCCTTGCCATGTCTGGGAATGCCTGGAATGTGCCCATAGTGGTAGGGCTTTTGTTTTGTGATGGTGTTGGGTTTGGGTTTTTTGTGTGGTTTCTTTTTGTTTGGTTGGGATTTTGTGGGAAATACATGACCCAAGCTGTGTAGTGTTTCTCTAATGAGAGATCTCCTGCACAGTCTAGCAGAGTTTCTTGCACCTTCTTAGCTGTAACTGCTGTTTTTGACCCATTGGTGCAGTTGGGTATTCCCATCTATTAATTTGTATAAATACAATTTAATTGTATTGTCTGTGTTAAAGACTAGAAAGAAAATTTTCTAGGTCACACATTTGTCTTCTCTTCCACACAAAGACACAGAAAGAATGGCAAATTTGAAGGTACGATGCAGTAAGTAATTAAGAAATGTCAGTAAAATTTCTTTAACAGGCATGGGTTTACTGTTTCCAAGCATGTTGTGCGCAGGACAAAGCCCAGCACATGGGAAGCTTCTCCTGTGTTCCATTGTGTAAGGATGGGTGTGTCAGATAAAAAAACATTGTTAAAGCTGCCTGAGTTTTCCTGTCCTTCATTCTTTGTGACTTTACAAAAAATTAACCAGTTGGAATGCAATGTTCTTGACCACATGTCCACCTCAAGCTACTTTATTTTTTATCTTAATTTCTTCTACAATGATTCATTGTTTCCAAGAAGACAGCTAGAGAAAAAATAATACTGTAATTAAGATATTCTGAGAATTTCTTTTAAAAAGCAGGAGTGTGGAAAATTTGATGGGTGAGGGGGAAGTGGCAACCCCTTTTCAGCACCGTGGCTTTACTAGCTAGCCTTGTGAAAACCTATGTAAGGTAAACTAAATTATATTGGAGGGGAAGGAAGTATTCACATGCTCCCCAGAGATTTACAGGAGTACAATTAACATCAGTGAAGAGTCAACCTGCCTTAAACATGTGCCAGACTGCACCTGGACAGGTTTCCTTCCAAAATTTAAAACTCTTACCTCACAGAACATTAGATTTTAAGCACTGGAATTAAATGTTCATGTTGTGGGATTTTAGTGTGGTTTCACTTCCTCTGTGCATGGTGAGGGGAAGTGAGTGGAGGAATACTCTGCTCAGGTGAAGTGCAGGACAGAGGGGGCAGGGTCCTCAGAGTGAGAAGCTGAAGAAAGGGGCTGCTGTGTGAGGAAAGGCATCCTGCTTGTTGTGGCTGGGAGGTGGAAGGGAGGAGGTTGGAGTCTGGTCACAGAGAATGGCCAAGATGGCCACAGCGATGTTAGGGGTTGAGAGGACGAAGAAGCCAATTTGGGAGTCCCAGGAAACAGAAGGGGAAGACACAGTAAAAGCTGCTGACTCTTGCCTGGGGAAGGTGGGGGAAAAACTGGAACTAGCTGGACATGGTGAATGAGTTGGGAGTAGGGGTGTGAGAGAGCATGGGGCCAGGCTGGGAGTGGGGAAGCGAGAAATTACTAGAAAAGGGCCTGGAGCAATAATTTGGGACTACCAGAGGAGTGAGTGGAGGCTGCAACAGGCAGGGCCTGGGAGCAGGAAGCGAAATCAGATGCCGCACAAACAGGCTCCAGAGCCCATGGCGGGGCGGTGGCAGTGCCTGCTCCCCCTGGTCAGCACATCCTGGAACTCGCGGCAGGTAACTCAGCTTGTATCCTCCGAGTGCACGGGAGACAGGACATCGATTACAGAAACGCATTTTGTTGATCTGGGGTCCCTGAAAGAGCCATGCCATGCAGGGGTTATGGTGGGTGGCTGTTCTTCTGGGGGCACTTCCAGATTCACTGGTCAGCACCTGAAAACCCGTTTTTGGCTTGCTTTTTAGCTAGCCACCCTCATAAGGCGTTCAAATTAAAGGTAAATGTGCACCTTTTTGCACCTGGAGGCACACGTTTTGCACAGTTAAAACCCCAACTTACTATCCCTACAGAGGAAATTTCCTGTAAAATTAAGCATTTAAAAAATAAATGTTTTAGCAAATGTATATATAGAAGTTAGCACGGTTTTTTGAAGTGCTGTCCTCTGAGTTACAAGCCTCTTATAAAAACCAAAACAGCCAAGCT